ACTGCTCCCAGCTACTTTTTGTATTTTTAGTAGAGACGGGGTTTCACCATCTTGGCCAGGCTGGTCTTGAACTCCTGACCTCGTGATCCACCCGCCCCGGCCTTCTAAAGTGCTGGGATTACAGGCGTGAGCCCCTGCACCTCGCCTACATTTTATTCTGATCCATGTATATCTAGGCCTATCTGTGGTTCCTGTGTATTACAGGAGGAGGGAGGAAATCTTTCCTTCCGTTCTATCTTTTCCCCACTGGTTTGGGAGCTCCATCTTTAGTCTAGACCAGGGGGGCAATTGTGTCCATTGGCAACTTCTGGTGACATTTTTAATCGCCATGTTTGGGGGTGCATGGGTGTTGCTGGTTTCTAGTGGATGGAGGCCAGGGACGCTGTTCATCACCCTGCAATGCACGGGACAGACCCCACAGCGAAGAATAAGCCAACCCCAAATGTCATTAGGGCCAAGATTGGAAAACCCTGTGTTAGACAAATCCCATCTCTTCTGGGGGCTCTAGATTCTTTACCAATGTTCTGTTTGTGTATTCTGGGGCGATGGCACAGTGTCATAACTCCTGTGGCTTTATTATTAGATTTGGCACCTGAGAGGCATCCCCGTTTCACACTTTTTTTTTTTTTTTTTGAGACAGAGTTTTGCTCTGTTGCCCAAGCTTGAGTGCAGTGGCACAATCTTGGTTCACTGAAGCCTCAGTCTCCTGGGTTCAAGCGATTCTCTTGCCTCAGCCTCCTGAGTAGCTGAGATTACAGACGCCCGCCACCACGCCCGGCCAATCTTTGTATTTTTAGTAGAGACAGGGTTTCACCGTGTTGGCCAGGCTGATCTTGAACTCCTGACCTCAGGTGATCCACCCGCCTCGGCCTCCCAAAGTGATAGAAATACAGGCGTGAGCCACGGTGCCTGGCCCCTGTTTTACACTTGAGGAAAGTGAAGCTCAGAGAACGGTTTCTTCGGCTCAATTACAAGTGGTCGAGCCCAAACCCACTCCAGAAACTGGACTCCTAATCACAATACCAGCCATTCCCCCATGAGCAGTCAGGGGCTCAGCAGTGGCGAGGCGGCAGAAACTCGGCCCAGGTCACAGCCCGCCCCCTGCGGGACCTGGTTGGCTAAACTGCCGTGATGACCGGCAGGTCCTGAAGCCAATGAGGCGGCGGATCTCTCCAAGTCCCTAAATCCACTGGACCCTTTGCAGAAGCGACTTCCAGAAGCTTAAATGCCCTGGACCCGCCCGCCCGCCGGCCCGAAACCAGACCGCTGATGTCTCACCAGGATGGCGACTTGGTATTTACTGAAGATCTTTGCACATGAATGGTCTGAAGTCTCGTAGCATCGCTGGAAGTCGGGTTATTACAGTAGCAGTTGTGGTGGTGGTGGTGGTGGTAGTGGTAGTAGTAGTACTAGTAGAAGTATTTGAGACGGAGTCTCACTCTTTCACCAGGCTGGGGTGCAGTGGCGCGATCTCGGTTTATTGCAACCTTCGCCTCCCAGGTTCAAGTGATTCTCCTGCCTCAGCCTCCCGAGTAACTGGAATCACAGGCGCTCACCACCACACCCGGCTCATGTTTTGTATTTAGTAGAGACAGGGTTTCACCATGTTGATCAGGCTGCTCTTGAACTCCTGACCTCAGGTGATCCACCTGCTTCAGCCTCCCAAAGTGCTGGGATTACAGGCATGCGCCACCACGCCCTGCAGGGTTATTATTAATAATCCCCCCCTCTTTTTTTTGAGACACAGTTTTGCTCGTTGCCCAGGCTGGAGTGCAATGGCCCGATCTCAGCTCACCACAACCACCGCCTCCTGGGTTCAAGCGATTCTCCTGCCTCAGCCTCCCAAGTAGCTGGGATTACAGGCATATGCCACCACGCCTGGTTAATTTTTGTATTTTTAGTAAAGACGGGGTTTCTTCATGTTGGTCAGGCTGGCCTCGAACTCCTGACCTCAGGTGATCTGCCTGCCTCAGCCTCCCAAAGGGCTGGGATTACAGGCATGAGCCACCGAGCCCGGCCAATAATCCCATTTTATAGTGGAATAAACAGGTTCCCAGAAGCAACAAGAGAGGCTGGGGTTGCACAGTGATCCTGAAGAGGGTCCTGGCCCTGCTCATGCCTCATAACACAGGCAGCCTCTTGAGGGCCCCCACACCTCCCCATCCTCCAAAAAGTTTTCGCCTGGGCTGCACTGCTAGACACTTTGGGCTCTGAGCCGCACACTTTGCTCACATGACCTTATTTTTAAATTTTTATAGTTTTTTTAAGAGGCAGGATCTTGATATCACCCAGGCTGGAGTACAGTGCTGTGATCGTAGCTCCTTGCAGCCTCCAACTCCCAGGCTCAAGCAATCTTCCCACCTCAGGCTCCCAAGCAACTGGGACCACAGGCCCACCCACCACATCTGCCTAATGTTTTTACTTTTTGTAGAGATAGAGTCTTGCTATGTTGCCCAGGCTGGTCTCAAACTCCTGGGCTCATGCTATCCTCCCGCCTCAGCCTCCCAAAGTACCGGGATTACAGGCGTGACGCCCAACCCTGACATGACCACATTTCGTCCTTACAGTGATCCCCTGGAGTAGGACCTCTTTACTGCCCCCACTGTACAACCGAGGAAACCCAGGCTCAGAGAGGTAAAATACTGGTCCGAGGTCTCACAGCTGGGTAGCAGTGACCTTGGCTCTTGAGCTGGGTAGATACCCTGAGTGCAGCTGAAGATTTGCCAGTCCATCCCGCCATGTGGGTGTCCCATGTCTGGGAGGTAAGAGCAGGCTCTATCCATTTTGACAGGAACAAGCTGCCAAAGTGTTACCAGAAAGGGGTCCTGATCCAGACCCCAAGAGAGGGTTCTCCAATCTCACACCAGAAAGAATCCAGGGCGAATTCATAGAGTATAGTGAAAGCAAATTTATTAAGAAACGAAAGGAATAAAAGAATGGCTACTCCGGCCGGGCATGGTGGCTCAAGCCTGTAATCCCAGCACTTTGGGAGGCCGAGACGGGCGGATCACGAGGTCAGGAGATCGAGACCATCCTGGCT